CGCACACGAGCTGATCAACTGACCAAAGCCGCTTCTCTGACATCCCCCCCGCATCATCAAATGAATCCGCCGATACCGTCTGAACATTGCGCTTTAGCAGTGGCGCATTCTGCAAAACAGTGCCATGTCGCTGATTGCGCTTACATACAGCATGAAAGGCAGCCATGCTGGGACTAGGTTCTCTCAAAGGGTATTCATGAGTCGGCGATGGCCGAGCACGTCCGCACTGGCACCAATATACCAATGGAACCAATGTACTGCACCCAAGCAATGTTTCTGAAAGTAGGCTTTGGCTCCGTGCCGCAGGCAACATGTTGATGGGCGTGATGCTCTTGAACAGTGCTGACCTCGCAAGTTTAAGCGCCCAGAATGCTTCGCCATTGCATCGGAGCCGGTTTTCGTAAGGTCCCAAGTGCAGCCGGATAGCCATCTACGAACAAGCGGACATGATCCTTCGAACCGTCGGCCAAGCCATAGCCCTGGTCACGACGCCTCCAAGGCCCGATGTGATTGAGAGATGTTTCGGTCGCAGATCGCCAAGAGTTCTGAGAATTCGTAGATGCTATCCTAAGGGATTTAAGCATTGACCTGGAGGCAATACAAGTTCCCACTGTCAGCGCAGATCGTGTGGGCTTTCCTCCAAGGGTTCAAAAGTATGGCATTACATAGCTGAACCAACAGAATATAAAGAGACGACATGGCAAAACAAATGGCATGTGTGAATTGTCCATTCACAAAGGGCATGCTTGCCTGCTAGTTGAGAAAGCCACCCTGACATTGCCAAACCCCTTGCTGGAATTCGCGACCTAAGTTGAATGTGGCGTGTATGTGCATCACTTTGAAGTGTGAAGCTGGGAGCTGCACGTTCGCGTGTTTTTGTGGCGCCCTCGAGCTGTTTGTTCAGGCCTCTGCTGGCACTGCGCATTCTGGCTCCCGCAGAGGACCGACTCGGGCCTTTGCAAACCAGCCCCACAAAGGCTCCGACGCAGCAGTCGATGTGTCATGGAACCGCAGCTTCTGCATGATGAGAACAGAACATGGGATGTTTGCTTTTGGACATTCTGAGCTTTGAAAGACTCTCCCTTTGAGGGCACCCACAAGGTAAAAGTGGCAAAAGTAGCCCTTGTCTGACACCCATCAAAATGTCGTGATGATCGGCGACCTTTTGTGCTCGTGCACCCCAAGGCAAAAAACATACAATCGTGAATAGCATCATGTTGAATCACAAAAGCTATTGCAATACTTTGCCAAGCTTTCATCATTCTACGAGAGATTTCGACACAATCAACTACCCAGAAAAAGCACTTTTAATCGTTGAGGGAACCCCCCTTCCATTCCAGTCCGGTCCCCCGCTCACAATCCTAGCCCACAGGTCTCGACCTTGACAAGAGCAAGTTATAGGTAGAGGACAACAGTACGCATTGCCAAAGGATTTTGTTGGCTTTTCGTGGGAATTCACTTGTTGGCTTTTCGCTGTTTTCGGGGGAAGTCGCGTCACCCAACTCTTTGCGCCTTGCGAGGAAGCAAGGGCTCACAGACCAGCAGCAAGACGTCGGCGAACCAAGCGGTGAAAGCATGAGTGATAGCCTGGTCCATGACCCACGGAGATGCATCGTGGCCGACACAATCACTTCAAAAAGGTTGACGATTGTTGTGTGTGTGTGTGTGTGTTTTCTTTTTCTTGTGGCATTTATTTCCGACATGGCTAAGAACATTGTGTTACATATGTATGCCAAGAAACAAATGTGGTCACCTTCCAGATGCTCAGCCTAAACCCACCTCCTCTGAACCAACCCAACCTTGAGCCCAACCTAAACCAAAGCCAACTACTGATGCTGAGGATGTTGAAAACGGTGCTGGGGATGTTAAAGCAATTCCGGGGATGTTGACAAAAAGCAAACACAAACCCGAATTCAGTCTGGACCCGGACTCCGCTGTCCGGCAGGGCAGATTCATTGGCGTGAGGGACAAATGGGTGAGGAGAAACATGGGGCCCTACCAGAAAGATTCTCGGAACCCTTCTAGGAACCCCTTCTATAAGAAGGCTCTAAGAACCTTTCCGGGGTTGGGCTTTCTTGATGAGATTGTGGCTTGTAGATTTTGCAGAATTTCTAAGAGTGTTCAGGCGGAGAGCCTTGTGTCAAAGACACGAGCACTTCTTTAAATCGGCTCAGAAGGCCCGGCAGCAGTGGGGAGGATGGCGCGAAGCAAGCACGAGCTGAAGCGGTATGCAAGATTTTGAATAGCGATCCATAGATCCCTGGCAAGGCTTAATGGACATCGGTGATTAGCAAACAGCCATTGCTGCCTGGCTGCCAAGAGACATGAAAGGGCCAGCAACAGCGATTCTCAATTCTGCAGTTTGCTGTGGCCGAGTATAGGATGACAACAATTGCTGCAACGGGTCAGCTTGTCCGCTTTTATGGAAACAGCCCAGTGTGCACGGTTCGGTGAGGGCAAGCACGCTGGGAGGCTTTCTGGCAAGTCTGGGAGAAGCGCCAAGCGACGGAGGATCGGAGCAAATGACATGAACACGCTGCAAATGGAGCAAAGAGGAGCTATGAGGAGCTTATGTGATGCCAACATCCCTTGCAAGCCGCTAAGCCTTTCTCCATCTGCGAAGCAGTTTGAGAGCACCAAGGCCAAGGGTTTGATACCACAAGCTTGCTTGAACCAAAAGGCACTTGAAGCAGACACACATGAAAGCTCGTTGAATCTGTCCAGAACATGTTTCTTTGTAGTGAATAGCGGGAATTGAACCGGGTCAAGCGGCTGCGGTGTTGTGAAGCTATTGTCTAATGAGATACCCTTAGTACAAAAAAGGCAAGCGACGCTACCCAGGGGTGTGTAAAATGCTTGGCCTCCGCTTGTGCAGAGTTGCTTGGTTTTGCGGGCTCTTGTAGCTCTGTTTGCCAGGGCTTCAGTCTTTCATCTTGAGGCGCTTCTTTGGACGCATTGCCTTGGGGTGAGAAGCCCTGGAATGTGTTTGAAGACCTGCACTGCGCGTAGTTCGTCTTATTTCTGGCACCTGCTGGGATCTCTGACTGTGTGGATGGGAGAGTTGCAGCTGGCGCGCTTTTTCACCACAATTCGCAGTATGTCGCAGTACCACGCCGCCACAAGCATGCATGTGGGACTCGACTGCTCCTTTGGCCATGATCAGGTGTTCCAAACACACATGAATGAGCTTAACTTTGGTGGCATGCACGGGTGTTTGCCAAGTGTGATGTGCTGCATTTGTGCAGCAAGATCTGTGATGCGAGTTTGTTTTCCTCCAGTTTCCAGGGCGGAAATTGGAGTCCAGATGCACACGAGTTGTTATGTCCTACGGTTGCCACATGGCAAAAGGAGGATTGCAGCTCACCAGTTCTTGAAGGTCGTGGATTGCGCCTGGCCACACCCGCTGGCCCCAATAGATTTGCCTTCGGGTGGCATTGGGGCGGGGGGGGGGTTGAAGCAGCCGCCTTGGCGCGCCGCCCCGTGACCCCGCGAAGGGTACAGCCTTGAGTCACTTGAGTCCATGTGTGGCACTATAGCGCAGGTTCACGTTTTATTTGTTATGTGAAGTGTCGACTCTCTTGTTGCCCCATAGGCTCATTTGCCCTATTTGCTGGATTGTGAACAGCTTCAGCCTTTCCTGGGACATCTTCAGTCGTGGGTGTCAACCAGGTGTATACCGTATACCTCAAATGACATCATCATGCATCGCGGGCTTTTGTGTCTTCGCATAACCAGAGGCAGGTTGGGGCAGAACACACCTTTGTACCTAGATATTGAGTTTTGTTGTATTTGAACAAACATGTCACCCTGCATATGCGCATCGATGTGTTTGCTGCAGCCACAGCGAGGCACACGCTTTCCGGCTTTGCTAACTCTTCAGCATCCTGTTGCTATTTACAGACATCAGCAGATTGACTGCCTATGTTTGCAGGAAGTGAAACATGAAGCCCACTGAATCTGCCGCAGAACTAGGTGTTGACAGGCCGGAATACGCTGTACCCAATGGCCTAAGCGCCGCGCAGCGGCAGTGCTGCGGGGCTTATTTTTGGGGTCACCGGAACCCCTCAACTGGTGCGGCGAAAATGCTCCTGCACTTGTCCAGGCACATCATGTGCAGAGGGTCGCTTTGCGATTGGCAGACTTGCCACTGACGGCAACACAAACAGCTTTCTGTGTGATACTTTTTGTGAAGGGAATGCGAAGCACTGGAACTCTCATCATGGCACACATGTGCCAGCCTGTGTACTCTCAATAGACATGTGGTTCATAACCATGATGGACACGTGCAGTCGAAGCAGCTGTGGCAACGCTCTTGTCTTGCAATCTTTCGCCAGGCGGTGCTTGGATGGAAAAGGATACTGAGCTCGATTTGCCCCTGTCACTTGCGCAACGGACCAGTATGGCATGGGGTCACTTGAAGACAGCTGCGCAGACCCGGGAAAGAGATTAGGTCAAATAGGGCTGAACAAGCACTGCCCGTTTGCTTTCAAAGAGCACGTTTCGCAGTGACAGAGGGAGCCGGAAAGTATTGCGAGACGCGGGCCCGCAACACTTCAACTGTCCCCAATGTGCGACAGCAATGCTCGCATGCTTTCTTGCGTTGACCCCTTAATCCAAGCAAACCACTGGGACACACGCAAAGGACGGGAAGCACGGACAGTTTGACCAAGGTTGTAGGAGCCAGGGTTTCGCGCAAGGGCTGTCACGAAGCCATGATCTTGCATCGCAGAACTTTCGCGACTTGCGGCGCGCACAGTTCGCAAAATTGAAACCGCCAGTGCAGCACTTCTACTTACGCAGCAGGAAACTGCTGTAGCGGATCAGCTTGTCTCCAAGCTCCCTGCTGGTTAGACTCCTTCTGTCTTTCAGCAAACACAACCATCAAATAGGGGGAGTTGATTTTGGACAAGCCGGCTCCCGGTTTGTCCGGTTCCATACGGGCATGCCCGCGGTGTCCGCTCCCCGGGGCGACTTCTGGCGGTTTCTGGCGGCCCTCGCAGGCCTTCCGCACGGAGTTGGAGGACTGGAAGCGCCGCAGCGGCTTGGTCGCAGCAGGCCGTGGAAGTCCGAGGTACGCCCCAGCGTCTTTTCTAGTTGACTCAAATGGGTGTGGGTCAAAGTTAAACCACCAGGGCACCACAGGTTTTGGTCCATGTTGCCACTTACCAGGGTTCCATTTTGGGTACCTAGTTTTGACCCAATGCCAAATCCGGATCCAAAAAGGAGGGGGAATGCCTGTTAAGCGAATGTTTGCTTGTCCTATGCATGCGCCTCCTTGTCATAGCCTCAACTCGTATGCATCGATTATTCCCTTGGTTTTAAAATATGTTCGGTTTAGTATTTCGAGTTTCCAGACCAACCTGATGTGCGCTGAAGAGACGCGGAAGGGTGACGGAAGAGATTCGGAACGGCCAGGGCTAGTGAATTGTGTGTGTGTGTGGTAAAATAGGTCGCAGTCCCCCTCCAAGCCTTCCACAAAGCGTTCGTGTCGCAGTGGCCGAAGAACGGCTGCGCAGCTCTCAGAGCTCCAGTTCCAGGTACTCTGCCCGGAGAAGTGTTTCACCCTGGGATCAAGAGCAACCGAAAGCCATGAACGAAACCAGCAAAGGGAATGGGCGCAGAAGGCTTGCGGCAGTGACAGTTTTTAGGGTAATTGTGCACAACCAATATATGATACGCATATGGTACAGGGTTGCCCCCCAACCCCCACATGGTCATGGATCAGACAAGTAGCCTCCCTGTGCTTCTCTGGTCTGCGGCTGTGGGTTAGGGTTGATCTAGGGTTTTGTTTGTGTGTGTGTGTGTGCGTTTGCAGGTGTATTACTGATACAGGATGGTACGGTCGAGTAAGCATTACTCGCCCATGCCCAGATGGTGTGCCGGCGGAAGCGCGTGTATTCTCCATCACAGGACCAGGGTTTACTGCATGCATTTGGCCGTTGGCTTGGGGCGGACGGTTCTCCAGGGGCAGACCAGGCAAGCATGTCCGTACGGTGCATCCAAACGCCCAACAATGGACTTTTGTCACTTGCCTACGTTGCGTTCGAGGCTTGCGCATGCCAGAGGGGCTTGGCTGAAACGGCTGACAGGTGCTTGCCATGAGTCACTTAACATTCAGACTGCATGCGCAGAAACATCTGGATGGCAGCATCTTGAAAGCATGAAGAATATGTTTGACACAAAGGGTTCAAGGGTCACTCGAGTTTGTAGCACGGAGATGCAGCATTTGTTACTGCTGCGCCTGAAGAGTCGACAAGCTCCAACTTGACATTTGCACATTTGAACGACTGTGGATGGACGACATCCTGCACCACTTGCAAACCATGGTTGAAATCATTGGTTGCTGTGTAGAGGGAAATCCTCAGAAACCGGGTTTTTTCTTAGGCGGTGCGAAATGGATGTCGTCGATCAGTGTGATCCGTCCATCCTTCGAGGAGCCTTTCCGGGAGTTCGCAAAGCACTGCAAGCGAGAGGCCTGAGCACAAAATTCATGAGAAGCGGATCTGTTTTGGGGCGGCTCCATTTGGAGGCTTGGCAACGGCGAGTCAGCAAGGCGTCCTGACTGCTTATGAAAATTCCAGGTTAGTACAGTCTGGATTTGGGTTTGAAGCACCATACAATGAAGCCGGAGGAATGAATGCTCAGAAGCTCGGAGACTTCACAACAAGACGGCCATTAGCATTGATGCCGAGTGACACAGTCGTGTCGCAGCCTTTCGATCCAAGCAACTTGCATTTTGCTAGGGATCTTGCAAAGTCCCGGATCAAGCCAATCCACAATATTTCATTGTGCTAGAGTTCCCACAAGTTTCACCCTTCTGGATGGACCTGAAGTGTTCAAACTCGGCGCGCGGGGGTTCCAAGCAACGTGCAGTACCGGACAGGTGTGTTCTTGCTGCTGGTGTGCATGTCAGTTCCGTGTGCATGTTGCTTAAGCGATTTTGCAAGCATGCCTCTATTGTTCTGGAGCAAAGACTGTTGCAACAGCTCCAGAGGTTTGCATTTGAACACAGGCTGTCGCATTGGCATTGCATTAGTATGAAGAAACTCACGCACAGACGTGTCATTTGTGTTCGGATATTTTGTGCTGTAGACACGTAGGATGGAGAAGCGTTGTGTGTTGATCATGCTTGTTGCATTCTAATCGTTTGCGGTGTTTGTCCCAAGTAAATAGATAGTACCTACCCGGAGCAAGGGGACTGTGGCCCTAGACCTTGGCCAGGTTGGGTTGAGAACGAAGACAAGCAGTCCAGATGCTGGGACTGGCCACAGCTTTGCTTGTGCACAGCAGTCTGGCCAGACAAATTTGAATCCAATTGTTTTGGAGTGCAAGACACTGGTGGATGGCCACAATTGCACTTTGCATATGGGTGCTTCGTATTTGGTGGTGCAGTACGCTTCTGTGTCCACAACGCTCTGAAGCAACCAAGACAGACGCAAGTCAAAGCTATCAAAGGCACTCTGACTTCATCACTTCTCCGTTTACACCTCTCTTCACAACGACAACATGTTGGGTAAAAGGCGGCGGGGGGTGCCGCTCTTGGAATGACAACTGAAGCTTGGCAATGCCAACTGATGGTGCGCACGTGAACAACGCAGAAACTGTTCTCTTGCCCCTTCCTGCCCAGGCAAGCACGCAATGCAGAGGAGGTTTGCCTCAAAGACGCTGGTAAGCTGATTTGAACCCATGAACAAGTGTGGCTCTCGTAAGTGCCTCAAACTTGCGCGGCGACGACACACCAGCCCCAACTCCCCAACTCCCCAACTCCCCAACTCCCCCACTCCCCAACTCCCCAACTCCCCCACTCCTCCCCATGTGGAAGCAGCGCAGGCAGGCGTGCCGCACAAATGTCAATAAGACACGTGATTGGCATGCGTGTGCGGCAAACCCCTCCCGTTGACGCAACAAGTTGCTGCTCTATTTGCAAATGCCGACACCCTGCAGAGTCCAGCTCGTTGCAGAAATGGCGCACAGACACACATTCGCGGGCCACATTGTTTGCAGTCTTCAGAACTATCACATTGCCTGAGCTGCGCCGGGCCAAGATGTTTCCGACAGTATGGCCATCGGCAGGACTTTAAGTATGCCTTGTGGCAGCGAGACATCGGGGAGATGGGCGAGTTGGATGAGACCCAGGCCGGCAATACTGTTCCGTCAGAAATCTGCAGGACAATGGTCCATGGCTACTTTTCCTGCTTGCTTTTCTGTCAGCATCTATCAGCCATGTCTTATTTGTAACCTTACCAGGCCAGCGCTTGCAGTAAAGCTTCAAATTATACTATATGTTTGGCTCACCAACGGTATTTGCTACCAAGTCTTGCTAATGCCGCAGAGCCTTGGCACCCACTTCTGCTCCTGAAGCAGAGGTTGAATCATTGTTATAGAAAAGCTTTGGCTTTGCAGTTTGTCCGACATTAACAGACCTACTTGTCGCTTGCTTCCTTAATCATTTTCTGTTGTGCTCTCTAGAGGGAATGATTCGTATGGCACCTGGAAGACTCCTTTAGAACTTTAGACACTGCACATGACGGATGCGTTCCTGCGTTCATAGCTCCATTTGCTTTTCAATGCGTGTACTTGGGGAGTCCAAACACTCTCAGATCCAGTTTTGTGTGTGTGTGTGTCCGGTTTGCATGGACAAGCAGGATACGGTCGCGGTTTCGTCATGGCAAGCTCAGAACTCTGGCTGGCTTGGGTTGAAAATACGTTTCCTTTTGCGAACAGTCCGAATTGTTGATGTTAACAATTTTGTGCCGACAGGCAACGTGATGCTCCGAGTATTTAATATTAAGGTGTAGTATCCGTCAGTGAGTTTGCTAAAATCACTCATTTATTTGGGATGCTCAATAGCATGCCTGGAACCCAACCTAATCACTCGTCACCTCTACTGTGCTTGCATATTATTTGTGCATGTTCTGTGGATGCAAAACGTTGGAGGTTTGCACAAACGCAATGTTGCCCTTTAGCAGCAATGAACCATAGACTTTACCACTTGCAGTAGGGTGCGACAATACTAAGGCCAAGAAGGGACATCTAGTCAAAGGTTTTCTGAAACGTGTATATTTCGCTTGGCTTTGCCCTGCAAAATAAGTCCAACAATTGCGATGTCAAGACAAACCACACATGCTGTGTGAAGCGCGACATCCCGAAGAGTCTAGCCATGCAAGACCATTTGTGCTATTCGCAAGCCGGTCAACCGGATGGATCAGCGGGCCTCGGGCTATCGGAAGCTTGGGCCAGGCCTGCTAAAACCAGGGGGCAGCTGGTGTCATGGCATCGGCAGCTTGTGCAAACTGTGTGGTGATTGGCAACGTTCTAGTTAGGTGGTGAACTACTTCGCCCGCAACGCAGAACTCACATCCAAGGCAGGGCATCTTTCTGACTCTCTGGCTGGCTGCTCTTCCGCACTGCATTTTTGGCTGTTGCGGTTGCAGCCTTTCACATAGAGGTGTTTGCGAACCTGGCAATCCTGTGGTAGCGAGTGCAGATTCGAAGCGTCAAAGAGAGGAGCTTGTTCACCCCTGCCCTTCAGTCCTGCCTGTACAGAATGGGCTCTCCAGATCAGCTGTTGCGCATGTGAAAAACATGATGCAATTGTGAGCCGTACATGGGATGCGCTTCTGCATGTTTTTGCCAAACACAGCCTCAGCCGCAGCAACCTATTCCCGGTAGTCTTCATGGTTCACTTGCGAAGGACATGGAGCTCACGGATTTTCCCGCAAAAAACACGGGGCTCACTAATAACAAGTAATTTTGACCGTGCCTCATGTGGCAGATTATTTGCACAAACAGATGCATGCCAATCGATTCACTGGCGTTGGCCCAGTGCCGAGTTGCTTTGTAGGTGTAAAGTGTTCAAGCTGTGTCTTGGTCTTGCGCACAGGTGGGACTCTGCAATTCCTTGTACAATTGCTGCACGCTGGATCGTGCCGTGCACTTAGCTGACCCCTGCTGACCCAGTACCGTGCAACAGAGCTGTAGCCCAACACTTCCAAAGACT